ATAAAGAAGTCTCAGCCAGAGAGCTCTAATGTTTCACCCAAATTACAAATTCCAGGATTTCATAGGATGGAACCATATCAATTAACGTAGAACCAAATTTATGTGACTGTATAGTACAAAATACCTATACGATATATGTTGGTTGATTTATAATTCAATGTTGTATTTCGAAAGGAAAGGTTTATATGAGCATTCTGTGTTGTAATTCTCCCATTTACAGGAGTTCTGAGCACATTAAAAAGTTGAACAATATTACCCTCATCATCATATTCAATTTTTGGAGGGTGTGGGTGGGTCATGTTATCTTCTCAAAGATTTCCAACTTTCCCATCCCCACTCTGTCCTGTGTCAAGGGCTTAATTTGTAATATTGTCACATTCAATTATCCAATGGGAAATAACAAGTCCTCCCATTACATAATAGATTTCTATTTTTGCCATGGCACTCACATTTGATCTGTTGATTTACTGAGGCTTTTTGCTTCATCTGGATTCCAACATCCTCCCCTCCAATCTGCTGTGCACTTAAAGGCCACTTGGCTAATGTCAGGCAACAGTACAGTCATCATCCTAAAAGCACCAGTCTGTTAAGCGTCTCAAAGTACTGGGAGTTCCAAATAAATATTTTGATATAAATTAATCTTTTTTTTATAAACCTTCTGCTGAAGAGCAGCTGGTCCCAAAGCAGTTGCCAAGGGAGTGTAACGTGATTTCTGCACATTTCCAATGTGTTGATGGTGACAGCAGGGAGAACCTATACCTGGAGAAAAGAGACCAGGTATTTGTTCACCTTTGTGCTCTCACCTGCTTTTTACTGTGACTATGTGTACTGCAGAAAAACCTACAATGTTTGAGAGCATTTCGATTTACCCGAGGAAAAAAAAGAAAAAGAAATCTTGAAGTGGTAGTGGGAAAATGGATACTAATAGATTTTCCTGCCCCTTACCTCACATAAAACATAGGGAGAGCTGTCTCTACCTTTAGGTAGAATAAGATGACTGCCTCATGCAGGACTTGCAGCTCACCAGTTGCTTCTCCTGAGTCTTTTGCTCATTTTCCTTTGATGGAGAACAAAATTGTTCATCACAAGTCCATACTCCTCATCCTAAACTACCCATGATGGCCCGCCATTTCCCAGAATATCTGACCATTGGCCAAAGTGGGTGAGGTTGCTGGAAGTTGAAGTCCAAAACATCTAGATAACCAGACTTTGGGAATCACTGTTGTTAAAGGATCCATTTGCTAGCACTGAAGTAAATTGCTCAGTGCTTTGTAGTAGTAATTTGGTGATTACTACTGAGCAAATTACCCAAGTACTCTTTGCCAGAAAAGGCCACATATCTTGCATGGGGTACTTGTAAAATGACAACACCCATTGAACCACAGCAGTTAAAGCAGTGTCGAACTGTTTTAATTCTACAGTGTAGATGGACCCTTAGATTGCTCTACGAGGCAATCATACACATTCATGGAATATAAGGACCATAAATCATGTTGGCTATATAGAACCACCAGGTTTATAAGCAGTATTATAATTGTTTCTAATCAAGTAAAGGATTATTATAATTTAGGTAGGAATACAATTTCAGTTGGTTCTCCACAGTTGTGGGTTTCACATTAGTGAATTTTGATAAATATGTTCTCTGTAGGAATGTTCTCTTTAGGCCTCCAGTACAACTCCACTGGATGTTGTTCATAAGTGTTGTATTGGAGAACTTAAGGATGCCCAGAGAACACTTTCTTAGGTCCCCTGTTAACAGCTAGTTTTTTTAACCTTTGTTGTAATGTGGGTTGTGTGCTGTATGTGTCAAGCGTGTTTGTCAAGCGTTCTGATATGGCCAATGGGCTAATCAATAAATTATACCTACTTCCTTAGGTATTTGTAAGTGCTCCAGTGTGATTTTATGCTCAGCTTCCTAGATAGGCATTCTCTCAACTTAAAACACATATTTTTTCTAGTTTTAAAACTTTGATGGGATTTGCTTCTCTTTTGCCTTTCCTGTAATCATATATATGAGGAAGTTCATCTCATGACCCTAAGACCTGTGCGTTCTCTATTCCTGAGGTAAATTGACTCCTGGATCAAAATGGCAACCATTAAATGTCAGGGATAATACTTATGAATAGTCTAGAAATCATTTTCTTGCAGTGACACAGACTTTCACTCAAAATCTGGTATCAATAGGATTCTTTGTGAACATCTATGTTTGAAATGCAACATTTGGAGTAAGGAAACATATTTGTATCGTTTTCATTCATACAGTTTAATTTAAAAATATAGAAAACCGTATATGGCAACCAGACTGCCACAGATAACTTCATTATGGTACATTCTTGCTTCATAGGGAGACAGCATTTATCACAGAGTATATCAGAGCTGACACGGATGATATTTTTGTGCAATCTTCTAGGAATGTATCTCCTTATTGATATTCTATAGAACTAGTCCAGTAGAAATATGATTTAATTTTGATTTCATTGCTTGCTAAATGGTGAACATTTTGAAAGGTAGGTTAGTGAGTTTACCCCATTTTTCTGAACCAAATAATCTTGCTCACTATTCATGGCAGTGGCAAGCACCACTATAAATTGAGTGAGACTTGGGTTTCCAAGGCCATATTCTAGACGGGAGAATCTGGAGCCTTCTGTGAGTAGTATTGCTGCTCCTAGTAGTATCTTGCCATTAACCATGCTGACTTGAATTTAATAAAAGCTAGGGCTTAAGATCTGCAAAGTCATGGGTTCATTGTGCTAGTATACCCCAAAACACAGTCCACTGAAAATTCTTCCTGTGTGAATCCCAGACAAGAGGACAGAATCTTCTCAAGGGCATGGGGAGGGAATCTCACAATGGCTTCTTTCCCAAACTTTCCTCCTAGGCTTGTGAAACTGCTTCTCACTGCCAAAAGCCACAAAACTAGATGAATTGACAGGATTGTTAGGAAAAGAATCTCATGGGATGAGTTATAACTTCTTTGTGTTGGCCAAATTGAGGTTCCTGAGCCATATGTATTTTACTTATTATAAGAATCACAAATAAAACCATAGAAGTAATACTTGGGAAACTCATCTGTGCTTAAAATTATGACATGTGAACAGTATTTTTTAAAATTAATACGCCTATTTTTCTTTGCAATTTCACAATTTCCATTTTATACTTGCAAATGTTATGAACAACCATTTTCAAATGTATACATATGGCGCTGCCATTTAAATTAATACCCTGTGGAAATAATAATAAAAAATGAGTGCAAAACCTGAATGCATTTTAACTGCTTCATTGACTCTAGCGCATGATCATGTATCAGTCCTTTACCTTGGTCCACACTGGTCAAGATTTTTTGCTTCTGAATTTCCAGAGTTATATTGCAGTTGCCATGGATGCTCATGCAGAGGACACAGTTCCTTTGTTCTTTTCTCCTTTGGCCATTCTCTACTCCTGTCATGCTAGTATGATAAACTTTCATTAATACAGCATCTACCTGTAGAGAAGCTTCGTTCCTTACAACAGTCCGGGGGATAACAGTCCCAAAAGCTCTGGCTGGGGAATTTACAGCCTCATAGCTTTAAGAACAGTCTCTAAAGAAAGGCTTTTAAGAGAAACAGCTTTACAGCACAACCCTTGTTGGGGTTAGAGAAACGGACCTACAACTTTCGTGGGAAAAATCCTAAGGACTCCAGCTGGAAATTCTTCAGAGCCTTGGCTGGTAGGTCTACTCAGGTAGCCAAGAAGCATTTTGGAGCCGGGAATAGAGCCCACATCAGCAAAGCCTAAAAAGCAGATTGCCCAGGGAGGGGTTAAAAAGGGTTTTCCTCATAAAGGAAAGAAATAGTTCTCCAAGCAAGTTGCCTGTCCATTGTAGACAAGTTAAGAAGCATTTGTTTGATTTGTTGAAGATCTAAGATTGTTTGTTGAAGACCTAAGCAATAATAAAGAACTTGGTTAAACTTTTAAGCCTCTAAAGACTTTGTATAGGAAAACCCATAGGGCCTCTCATCCGAGGCACCCCAGCTTCCCGCTGGGCACAAAGAGCACGTCCTGTTCAAAAGCCAATTGCTATAGGCCCAGCGCGCGACAGCACAGAACCTATGCTTCAAAATCATTGAATAGTCATTCATGACATAGGGGCCTTCTACCATTACTCTGCAAAACCTCACTTTTCAGAGTTGATAGAAGAACTGTTCACAGTTAAGCATTTTAGAAAGCATTCCTTGGAAGATGGCTTGTGCTGCTTTTCATGGCCAATTATGAAGAGATGTCTTGTTCACACATGTGGTAATAATGGAAGTGGTGGCAATGCAAACAATGATGTTGTGTGCATTTATATATGTGAGCACACTTCTCTACCCTATGAGGATGTAGGATTGACAGGTTGCCACATATGCTAGATAGCAGTTTCTATCTAACAGGAATCATAGAGTTGGATGAGGCCACAATGGCCATCTAGCCCAACCCCCTGCTATGCAGGAAAAGCACAAGGTATCCCTGACAGATGGCCATCCAGTCTCTCTTTAAAATCCTTCAAAGAAGGAGCTTCCACCAGACTCCGAAGCAGTGAGTTCCATTGTTGAACAGCTCTTACAGTCAGGAAGTTCTTCCTAATGTTCAAGTACAATCTCTTTTCCTGTAATATGAATCTATTGTTCCGAGTCTTGTCTCCAGGGCACCAGAAAACAAGTCTGCTCACTCTTCCTTATGACATCCTGTCACGTATTTATACATAGCTATTATGTCTGCTCTCAATCTTCTTTTCTACAGACTAAACATGCCCATCTCTTTAAGCTGCTCCTCAAAGGAAAAAGGAGGATGGCCCTGCACATACTCAGTTCTGGGCTATTGCTAGGACTAGTAAAATCTGCTTATATAAGGAAGGATGATTATTGGGGTTTTAACAGTTTCAGAGTAATACCACTGATTTCAAGGACAGCTAAGCTCCTTCTTGTTGACTTGCAAACAAACAGCAAAACGCATTAAACAGCACAAAGAAGGAATACAGGAAATACGGTATTGTATTATTTACTGAAGGAAATAACAAGTAAAAATTATGTTGCTGTTGTTTAAAAAACAGATACCATACAAGTATTGACATGAAAATGTAAAGACATGTGTCATAAAGGTGGTACCTGAACAGATATCCGAAGAAACTGGAAACCTGAAGATGGTTTATTGAACCTTACGACGATTCAAGTGCCTTTGTTTATGTGGTACGTGAAAAGTGATGAATGGCAAAGTTCACAATGTACTGTCCATACAAAATTTGAGCAGATGTTTTAGGAGCTCAGTGTACATTCCCTCCTTTCCACCCAAAGGAGTATTTTACTGGAAGTTTCTAAAAAATAGCTTGCTTTCCCTTGTCAGGAAAGGAAAAAGTTTTGTTGTTAAAAGAAACAGTAGATCCAAGAGGCAGGCAAAATGATGGCCTTGCATTTAAATGAACCACTTTCCCTAGGTAACATAAAATTTTATTTTAATATTAATGATTATTTTACAACTCAGTGGAAATAGGCAGAAATGCAATCTATTTCCATCGTCTCGATGGCAAAAAAGCATTCTTAACAGTCACAAGAGCCTGCCTTGTGTTAGCTATAACAAAAATATATTTTAATATATATATTTATTTATATATATATATTTATGCAATTACTATGTGCATTAAACAATATTTCTACATGAATCTGAAGGATTGCAACATTTGGACTGGAAGGTTGTTCTCAAGACTGGCATGGGTTAAGAATAGTAACACTTCTCATCCTTTTTCCTCCATTCCAAAGGCTAGTTTTCTCTCTCGCCCAGCACCAGCCAGGCCTATTTATACTATTTCTGTTTCAACAGGGCCATAAGCAATCTCTCTGAAACTAACAGCCAAATTCCTATGCACAATCCTTTAGAAGCAAATCCTACTGAGCTCAGCGGGGCTTACTCCCAAGTAAATAATGCATAGCACTGAAGTTTTGGTCTGATTTTTGTGAACATTGAAACTGAATATTAGTCCAATTTCACTATATATATATATTCCAGTTTGACAGCCCAGTTTCACCATAGTGAAAAACCTTCTTGCTTTCAAGACAAAACGCTCCGATATTTGTCAACTATAGACCTATAGTTGTGATTAGAAAAACAAACTCACCGTTCAAAGGATATAAGCCTAACAGAATACAAGAAACATTTTGCTATTTCCAAATATATGCTGTGTCTATGGAATGGGGCAGAAATCGTATTATTTGTGGTAAATATAGAAAATGGCTAAGCTATGTTATCTGCATCGGACTGATATCACCAGCAGCATTGTCAACAAGGAACAGTGCTTCCAGGCATGAAAGGGCACTCATTTGTAACAGTTCTTTTTTTATAAAAAAAAATCCCACAACACTGCTGTGCTGGATCAAATAAGGAAGCACTGTTCTGAACTAAAGCTTTCCATTCATTTCCTGGATTACTCTACATCTCCAATACCTAAACCATGAACATGGCAAATGTTTCCATCACTCTCATACTGTATTCAGAGGTACATAACTGAAATTTTGTATATCAATCTGCTCTGAAAAAAAAAAACACCTCTCACTGAAAGGGTCACCAGGAATCCATATAGTTCTTTTTCCCCCTTGGAGAAAGTTTATCCAGAAGTCAATTCTGCTTCTCTCACTTGGATTGGAGTTTTTGGTTTCCTTTTCTTGAATGAGAGGCATAGTAAATATCTTAGTCCTCTGTAGGCCAGTTACTTGTGAACTGTCTGAAAAACACTAGCATTGCTCAGATACAATGAAGCCTTCTTTCTCGCCAACTGGTTCCACTTCAGCATATGCAGGGTGCCCAGATCCTCTCCGAAATTTCATGGCAGGCCACCTGCTTGGTCGACGCTAGAAGACCAGACACAAAACAAAGATGTCAGATTCTTGGAACAGCATTTTGATGAGAGTTTTGAAAATTTTAATTTTGGGACTATAACTCCAGGAATCTCCATACAATATGGATAATGGTCCTATCCAGCTGAGGATATATAGTCCAAAACTTCTCCAAGGTGCCAAACGGTGTAAAATATTTTATTTCTTTAGAAATATAAATGAAATGAGGTAAGCATACTGCAACAAAACAAAACTCTTACTTTACATTAGCACTAATCACTTGGGAGAAATAAATCACTAAGAACAGATAGCATATCAAAAGAGTCTTTTCAGATTACGGAGACAAAATCTACTCTAGTTCTAACTAAAAAATGTCAACAAATATGGAAAGCAAAACAATGGTCTACAGACCGGAGACGCTCTATTCCTAATGCCCAAGAAAGGAGGCACAAGTGATTGCAGTAACCACAGGATTGCATGAATGTCCAGTGCAAGCAAAGTTAAGTTTAAATTGTACAACAGAGACTTTTACCACATATGGAGTGAGAAATGCCAAATGTCCAAGCTAGGTTCAGGAAAGGAATAGGTACTAGGGATCATGTTGGAAAAATACATTGGATAATGGAGCATACCAATTTCAGAAGAAATTCAGCTTATGCTTTATAGATTCAGTTTGTGATTTATATACCAAAGAACTTGATTGTGTAGATCATGACAAACTATGGACTGCTTTTAAAGAAATGGGTGTGTCATAATATATGATTGTCCAGATTTACAACCTATACTCAGAACAAGAAGCTACTGCCATGATAGTATATGAAGAAACAGAATTGTTTCCATTTGACAAGGTGGTAAATAAAGACTATATGATATCATCCTTTAACTTTTACACTGAACATATCATATGCAAAGCAAAATTAGACTCATAGGGAGGAGGTGTTAAAACTGGAGAAAGAAAGGAACATCAACAATTTAAGATATGCAGATGTCACCATACTGTAGCAGAAAATAGCAGAGATTTACTGTAGCAGAAAATAGCAGAGACACAAACAAGGAATGGAAGTTATCTGTTATGCACATGCCACATAGAGATAAACATTAGGGAACAAGAGATGAAGGAGAAGATTGGTTACAGCACGACTGAACAGATGTGCTCACTGAGATATAATGAATTTCACATATTGCACAAGCACAATAAAATGGGGATATTGGCATCTAAGAGCTGTTTTCTCCTGACTCTTGAAGACGCTGAAAAGCTTATTGTCACGCCTTATAAGGAGCTTATAAGGAGCTATATAAATTTTATGTATGCCAATAATGCAGTACATTTCACCTATAATCAAAGGCAGTCACAGCAATTATGAGCAATGTGTATATTCTGTTAGTTTGCTGAAACTCTAAATAATCTCTACATATGCATTTTCTTCCCCGAGCTTGTTCTGCAAAAGATCAAAATGTCTGCACTGAGGAGCATTTCAGGGACAAATTATTTCCTCTATCAATGTGCACAGGAAGGTTCTCCTATGTTACCATCTTTTACGTCTAATTTGGAAAAACCATCTCTGAATATTCCTTGCCTAAGAAATACTATGAATCTGACAGGCAAATTGAAGTCACATACACATGCATGCTTTTTATTGTGTGCAGCAGCAAAGAGATGTAAATTGTGAGGGTCTCTATCCAAATAAGATGGCTTTGCTCAGTAATTCATGGTGATAACTTGCTATGCTGCAATATTTATTAAAGAACAAGAAAATGATTCTATTAGGGCTGAGCCAAAAGACTGATGTTGTTTCAGTTTTTAATCTAACTGGTTCCGCTGATCTCTTCTTCACCCATGCCCTTTATTCATTTGCTGCTACAGCTATAAAACTTCTAGACATATCCCAGAAGGAACCGATAGAACACTGTAGTGTTTGTCAAACAAAAGCACTGGCGAGGGGCCGATGGAACTTGGAAAAGGGGGCTTCTGTTTGGGAAAAGCATCTCACAATTCCTCCTGTTCTCATGCACCTATTTTGTCTGACTGACTTGTGGGACTGCTCTGGAATAAGGAATGGAATAGGCTCCCTGAGGTGGCAAGGAAGGCACATTTTCCAGTGCCTGGGGTCAAGTGGACTCCTGGCCACCAGGAGTTGCCTCCCTTTTCTGCACTAGGTGACACCAACCCTAACAATGCCATTGGGTGGGTGGAACTGGAAAGGGTTATAGTCTTCTCTCCATCATCTCCACACATGTAAGTAACTGCCTGCTTTGTATAAAGGTCCAGTTGGCCACTGTGGGAACAGAACACTGGGAGAAATAGGCATTTGAAAAGCTTTTGTGTGCACGCAGAAAATAGTAAACATGCACACTGTATTTTTGCCATGACTATGTATGGCTTGGGTCTTCTACAACCTCTCCTGAAAAGGGTATTTCTGTTTAAAAAAATCCCTTAAAGTAAAATCATTGCCTGACTTAATGGGTGGAGTTGTTGAGGTGGGTGCCCTCCAGCCTGGCATGATGCCTGCAGGGGGCTTCTTCCTCCCAGAAGCCCCTTGCATGGTGGGAAAGTTTCCCACTGCTCGTCCGGCCAGCCTATCAGTGGCAGGCCATGCCCCTCCTGCTGATTGGCCAGGGTCAACTGATGCTTGATCCCTCACAGCCTATATATAGGCTACTGGAGGTCATTTGCAAGCAGCTTGCCTGCTTCAGCTATATCAGCCAGCAGCAGGCTGCCCGATCCATGATCCAGGGCCCATGCATGGCTGCCAATCTTCTTCCTGTTATCAATAAACAGTTGTAGCCATTTGTTATCCCAACTTTGTGTGTGTGTACCATATTTGTTTTGGCTGGCGGGAGGTGCTGTCGCCCATCCACATACAAAGAGGGTAGGTACGCTGTACATGCAATAAGTGTACCCTTAGTTAGATTAAAGATTTCCACTCCTGATCATTCCATGCTTTTAAATGGTATGAATCAGTTAAATATGGCAGCCTTATTGGTATGGAGATTAATACTGAGACCAGGTGAAAATTGGCTACTTGACCTCAGCGATCACTCACATATGTCTTGATTCTCCAAAACCTGTTAGTTCACAACTTGCTGGAGGAGTGCATGTCCTTTTTCTCCTGGTTTTAAAAACTAGCATGAGTGAAATGAATAGATGAAATGTAATTTTAGGATTAAGTAGATATAGACAGTTGGGATTATAACATTTACAAATGAAGAGAAAAGATAGTTGGAAGTCACTTTCCTTTCCTTTTTGTTATCAGTCTTAGTTTTCGTTCTATATTAAGGTAATTTAAGTTTATAGCTAATGTGGTAATCCTTTTTAAAAATTAGTAGTTTTAGATAGTTTTGTGTGTTGTCTTTGTAGTTTGCTTTTGTAATACTCCTTATTAATTTTATTCTATGTAGATTTTAATGAAGAAAATGATTCTGAAAAAAGAGCAATGTCTTTTCATGGGCTTGAGAAACAACTCTTCCCCAATACTGTTCCTGTCAACCCAAAAGCAAGGATTAAAAATCAAATCACAGCAACAATAACATGACACAAGACGACAAATGCTTAGAAGGAAATGCCAGTTCTTAGGAGGACTCTTACAGGAAATATAGCTTACCTCAATGAAGAAGAGGCTGGCTGCTGATGTTGGGTGGTGGTACATGTAAACCGTCACAAGTATTGCTGCCGCTACAACTAGGACTAGTATGAATATGCCAACAATTAAGCCAGTATGAAGAGTTCCACCTTTTTTCTCTTCTGCACTGTCATCTGTTGAGGCTGCAAGAAAAAGGTATATGCTCAGCTGAGCAAGATTTCATTTTACTTTCATACTTTTCTGCAAATGCAACATGTTAGGTGCCAAGGCACATGTAATACTGATGAAAAGCATATTTCCTGATTATTATTTTTTGTCTTAATGAACTATATTAATATCCACCTTTGGAAATGTAACTTAGGTATCCTCACTTTTCCAAACGGAACTATGTAAAGAACTGACTTTTTGTTTTCTCATGAATGCACTCATACTTTTCTATATTGCATTATTTGAATTTTATTTCGAAAGCTGTAGGCCATCATTGTGTCTCATAGCCTTCAGGTTAAGAGCTGTCCCAAATCCTTCAGAGGAAGAGTCAATTAAATCTGGGAAACATGGAACATCATTTTCTAAAGTTCTTTGCTATTGCAGAGCAGATGCATATTAAATGGCTCTCAAATATTTTGATCTGATGAGAGCTTAAGTACCTTATAAAAATATTGCTGAAAGCTATCATTTTGTTAAGCTTCACAGCAATGTGGTCTGCATAGTAACACATGCTTGCAAAGGAGAAAGGGTCAAAGCAGAGCAAGCATGTCCTAAAGCAAATCTATTTCTGCTGAAACTACCCCATAAAAACCCTGATTAATACTGCTGTCATTTAGTTTAGTACATTTTAGTTAGTTCATCAGCATCAGGCTACAGATGGCTAAGGACAATTTTAGACTTGGACAGTCTATGCAACTGGAATAATTTCCAGCTGGAAAAAGATAGTTAAAAATTAAGAGTGGATTGTCAGCCTGTTATGACATAATTAAAAAACTCTGCATGGGTGGTTCAATCAAACTGTCATAGAGCAGAAAAGATGAAGAATGAACAGCAAGTTGAAGTTCTGAATAAATATAATTTGGCTGTAGCTTCCACTCTTGACACTAAGACCCAAAAGAGTCTAATCAACAGGCAATGGGAAAGCTGGGTCTTCTAAATATCTAAGCTAATTGGATGTAATATCATCTAGTAACTCCTCCAAGCAAATAAAGGGCTAATAGAATGGTGGGCTAGGTTACATTTATTAGGGTCAATATGATGGAGGAGCAATAGAAACAACAAGAGACAATTGCCTGATAAGGATGACCAGTTTGCGAACCGTGTGAAAACTTTGAGATGCTTCCAAGATGAGAAATTGGGAAACAAGAAGCCATAATATGCAGGTGTTTTTCAGAGATTTTTGGGACTGATGGAAACAAAGGGCTGCCTGCTTTACATTGTCTCCAAGGAAACTTGGTTGGAGACTGGACAAAATGGTCCACACACCCAATTCTTCATGAACACCAAGACCCAGAATATCATGAATATGATGAATATAATAGGAATGTTTAGCTTGCTGTGTTAGAACTTCTGTTATTCTAAGCTCTGCAGAATATGATTGAAGACTGTTTTGGTAACCTGTAGCTACTGCTAAGTGACATCTGAAAGAAAGTGCCTTCATATAAAAAGACTGTTGTTGCCATCTGCCTTCAAGTCATTTCCATGTTATGGCGACTGTATCATGAGGTTTTCTTGGCAAGGTTTGTTCAGAGAAGATTTGCCTTTGCCTTTCTCAGAGCGAGTATTACCTGCCGAAGGGCACCTAATGATGGCCAAGCGGGGATTTGAACCCTGGTCTCTAGAGTCGTAATTGAACACTCAAATCTATACCAACTAGCTCTCAAAATGTGGAAGATTCCCATTTGCTAACTGAAGGTTGCTTACTGAGGAAGAGATAGGAAAAGACACAAACTGCTCAGTGATGGTTTACTAAGTTACTAAATTGTAGAGTATATTAGTGAACTTCCAAAACTTTTGGGAGTTGATGTCAAACTGACAAGGATTCCTGGGAATTAGTTTTTAAAACACGCCCTCTACTTTGGTTTAATGGTTAAAGTTTGGGCTTTTTGACTGTTAAAGAGAAAACAAATACATTTTTATGAGTTCAAAATTGTCCAGAAAGCACTGCATTGTCTTTTCTAGTACACAAACATGTGTGAATTAAACGACTTCATAGTAGAAGAAAGGCAGTCAAACGTACTATGTGTATGTAGACTACAAACCAATTACAAAATGATTGCTGCGTTAGTCTAATTAGGTTACATACTTCAGATAATCTGCTTCTGATTCAGAATGATTACCTATCTCATGTTGTGAATTTGCTAGCAGCAGCAAAATAAAATAGCTGCTCCATAAGAAAAACACCTTCAGTCTGCTAATAACAAACTGATAACAAACTCCACAAAGACCTTCCTAGTTAGGATTGAAACAGTGGCTAGATAAGTACTTCATGTGAGACAATATTTTTCTTTCCTTAGACCTACAAAGATATAGATGTTTTGAGACAGAAACAGAGTTTGAGAAAGTTTCTTTTTTGGACTAAAATCCTTTGAATCTTCCACTAGGCATGGCCACTCTCTTAGCAGCAATAAATCCATTAATATTTGGAAGGATGTCAAGCTTGTTTTCTGTTGCTCCAGAAACCTGCAACAATGGATTCACATACACATAGGAAGAACATTCTAGTGTTTGTTTGATAGTGGAATATACTGCCTTAAGTGTGGCGGAGTCCCCTTCTTTGGGGATTTTTAAACAGAAGCTGAATGTCTGTCAGGAATGCTTTGATAGTGTATTCCTGCATGGCCCGGGGGGGGGGGGGGGGGTGGCCTGGATAGCCTGTTGGTCCTCACAAATACCTATTCCGTCAATGCAAAAATCTTAATGTCAACAGCAACAAGTAAGGCTAATCAGAGCTATTGTTTATTCGTTCAGTCTTCTGACTCTTCATGACCTCATGGACCAGCACAGAGCTCCCTGTCGGCTGTGGCCACCCCCAGCTCTTCAAGTCAAGCCAGTCACTTCAAGGATCCATCCATCCATCTTGCCCTTGGTCTTCCTTTTTCTTCATTTTCCCCAGCATCATTGTCTTCTCCAAGCTTTCCCGTCTTCTCATTATGTGGCCAAATACTTCATCTTTGCCTCTAATATCCTTCTCCAGTGAGCAGTCGGCATTTATTTCCTGGAGTATGGACTGGTTTGATCTTCTGATGGTCCAAGTCACTCTCAGAATAGTCCTCCAACACCACAGTTCACAAGCGTCTATTTTCCTTCACTCAGCCTACGTTATGGTCCAGCTCTCAAATCCATAGCTTACTACGGGGAATACATTGCTATAACTATGTGGATCTTCATTGCCAGTGGGAACACACTGGTTATATGGGTATCCTTGGTATTTTAGCCTAACAGAAAGATTAGGCTATTCCTCAAAATTGTTTTGCTATAAACAGAATTAAAATTATAATCATCAAAGCATTTATTCTAATAACATTCTCACTGGATTCAAAAGAAACATTGCAAAAATAGATCATTTGTGAAATACAGAATAGCTCCTTTTGACATTATATTTTCCAGAAGGAAAAACTGAATATGTTATTTGGCCTAAACATGCTGCTTTTGAATGTAACACAGCATTTCTATAGGAGCTCTGCATTTTCTCCAGCGTGCAAGTTGTTCAGATATAACAAAAGTATAATCTCTCTCCCACAGGCATTGTCCAGTCCTCTGCTTTTCAAAGCAAATCAAGAGATAAAAATAAAATAAATATGGTGGCATTTGGAATCTTTGCAGAAATGAAGTAGCAGTCCTATCACTCAAGTTATGAATAGTCTATTTTATGTATTTTATACACCATGCTGCACACTTTCCGCAGTATAAAATGCTTTGTGATAGGAGTGAAAATAAGGAGCCTTGATTAATTCCAGACATTTTACACCAATACTCTTTTGAGCACATTCACCAATCCCATGAAACAAACTGAAGGCAATTTATCAGTGTGACTAGATTAAATTTCCTCAAAGTAAAGATTATTAATCTGGGAGGCTTGTTTCCCAGGATGAATGACTTCAGCAGTTTCTCTTCTGGCAGAGAATTTAAACAAGCCTTTTGTTAAATGGACAGAGAGAGGTTTAAACACCCAACTCATCATTTCCTGAAACCTACAGAAGCACTTTCCAGAGAACCATGTAACAAAAAGGGACTGAAATATCACCATGCAGACACAGCAGACCTTTTAAAGTAAACAAATCATTGATACAACGTTGAAATATATATGTATATATGGTATTTTTAAACACACACCTTTAGCAGCGTGACTGACCACATAGGTCAGGGTCAAAATATTTTGCTGCCTGAAGTGAATAGGAAAGCTCTTTATGTTGAATACTTTCCTGCCTTGTCATGACTCCCAACAACTGCTACTTGAGGCAGTCATTTCTCTTTGCCTCATGTGTGGAGCTGAAAAACTATGATAAGTTTACATCTACACTGACCACTTAAGTCAAGTGTCAAACCAGTATTATAGAAAGTGGTTTAATTGTGCAGATGATTACATAGAAAATCATTTTACCCATTTGTGGCCCAAATGGTGATTACACAAAGCACAGAGCATTGATGTGCTTTCTTTTACAAGCTTTCATGGAAGTTCAGTTCTTGTGGGTTTTTTCGGGCTATATGGCCATGTTCTAGAGGCATTTCTCCTGACGTTTCGCCCGCATCTATGGCAAGCATCCTCAGAGATGAGACCTCACCTCTGAGGATGCTTGCCATAGATGCAGGCGAAACGTCAGGAGAAATGCCTCTAGAACATGGCCATATAGCCCGAAAAAACCACAAGAACTGAGTGATTCCAGCCATGAAAGCCTTCGACAATACATTTTCATGGCAGTTGTTTGTCTAGCCACCACAGTTTGAAGCTGACTTTGAACTACATTAAATAGTCAGTGTCGATGTGGTCTCCGTAAAATGGTATAGTCCTGCAATATTTATTCTACCTTTTGAGAATGTGTGAACTGAATACAGATTGCATAGTTATCAATAGATCCAGTGCCATGATGGTTTCCTTCCTCCTTGTTTTCAAAGTTGTAGTTTCATTTCTTCTCTTCTGCATAGAGATTGCCACACACTAAAGAATGTAAGATCAGTGCTAAGAAAGGATACT